CCAGACATACCTCTTTCCATTCCCAGCTTGCTCACTCTGCTTCTGCCTCAGATATGCCATGCTTGCTCCATCCCCTGGCCCTTCTTTGCTGTTCCTCTGCCTAGCTCCCTCCTTCCCCAGATATCAGCATGACTGGCCCCCTCACCTCCTTATGCTCCTCAAAAGTTGCCCCTGCAAACAAGCCACTCTTGAGACCCCTCTATTTAAAAATCCTGATACCTGAATCCTGACATTTCCTAATCTCCATTATTGTTTTATTTTCCTCAGTGGCATGTAATTGAGTACATTTGGGATTTATTAGTTTTCTGTCTTCCTTCTCCCCATTGGAATGTAAGTGAGGTTTACCCAGAACCCAGAATGGTGCCTCCTGGTACATAGAGGGACTGTGATAAACTGTTGAATGAATGAAGAAATAAATTAGTGGGGAAGCAGAAGCCCAAAGGAGTTGTGTGGTTTGCTAGAGACCTTACACATAGGTGGTGCCAAGTCCCAGATTATGGTTTTTCCATCCCCTTATGGCTGATGGCTCTTAGTTTTTTAAAAATTCCCCTTCTTATCCTGGTAAAGAGTCGTAGTGTCTCCCTCAGAGTTCTGTTTAATTGGTGCATGGAGAGGTCAAAGGGCTGGTTGCATGCTCTGTGAATGAGCGTTTTACAGAGTATCCCCCTGGCCATGCCACTTCCCAAAGGTGTCACCCATTGTTTTCTTCAAAACCTCCACCTTTCTCTGCAGCCACACCCAGGCTCAGAATGCTATTGGCAAACTGCGCTGCAGCATTAAGTAGCTTCTGTAGCACTACATACTGAAAGGACCGTCTGATGATAATCATGACTCTCTTACTCCTTTCTTAAAAGACTGGACCTAAACCATCCCAGAGACATTAACAGCTTTCATAGCCTCTAAAAACTTCCAGACAAGAAGATTCCATAATCTTGTTGGCATCCGCACTTGGCAGTACTGCTGCAGGAACATTCTTTATTGCACCCTATGGTGAAGACAACACAGGCCTCTTCTTCCCAAGCTTTCTGGGTCAGCTTTCTCTCTTTCTCTTTTTGGTACTGAAAAGAATAAGATTTATCACAAGCTGGAAAGAGAGAGCAAGGATATGAGCAAAAGTCTAAGACATATTTGTACCTAAGGGGCCATATTTATTTCCACCCCATAGACATCCTCTGCACCCTTTCTCTTTTCTAGAGGATGAAAGAACATAGGAAATAAGACAAAGAGGGTGGCAGACCCTTGACAATAATCCCCTGACAAATGCTATTTCCCTAGCCTTCTGTGAAGGAGCCAAGCAGCCTCCTGAGCACGGGTTGGAGACAAACCCTCTGTGGCTGCACAGCTTCTCAGAAAGCACACTCCATTTCTGACCTCAACTCCACACACCAAGAGATGGAACTTCATGGCAGTGATGCTACTTCTGGTGTGGCTAGCATCCAGGGTGAAATGGTCTCCATAACCTTTGCTAAGAATGTGTCTCCTGAGCCAACTTTAATCCTAAGGAGCAGGGGGAGGACAGCCTTGAGGTGCTTGTAACGTCACCACTTTCTCTTCTCTCTTCGCACAAAACGTAATTTCTAGTTGTAGATTAAAATGACCAGTTTAATTATACAATGGAAGTACTTAGTACAATGGCTGGTTTCCTACTATTTGCTGACACATACCCGGATTTATTTTCAACGGGGAGCCAACACTCGAATCCTATAAGTTTCAGGTCTATCTTTCAATCCATTTTAGAGAAGAGAAAAAATAAAAAATAAAAGCAAAAGCAATTGAATTATTCCTTGACTTCTAGAAGGAGGCCTCTATTTTAAATCTCTCCCCTCTCAGGTTAGAGGTTGAAGCTGGGCACTGAGTGGTTTCACATTTGTTGGAGTTTCCCAGCAACAGTGAGGATTTCAGGGTAGAAGTACAGGACTGGACAGTAGTTAGATATGAGCTGGGTTTGGCCTAAACTGAATTAGGGAGTAGGAGGGTGCCAGTTTACATTTGGAGGTTTCACAGTGCAAGAAAAACTCTCAAACTGATACACAACATTAGCTGTCAGGTGTGAGCTGAGGTGTGGCAAGTGGGAACATGGGTGGGGGCAGGCCAGAAGTTGATCAGAATTAAGTGATAAGCTGATGTGAGGTTAACCATTTCACTGCTTTTTCTTGTATCATGGGGATCAAATGCTAGTTAATTCTAAAATAGCAATTTGGGATGCTTGCTTGTTTGCCAATTAATTCAAATTCTATGAAGTTATTCACAGGGGAAAAGTGTGACAATTTTCACTGAGCCTCCAAGGGAATTTCTGTGTGCATACAGCAGAGGAAAACCCTGCTCAGTGCATTGGCCATGGACAGGTGCTGAGCAGAGGAGGAGGCTCTTCCAAGGAGGCCTCCAAACACTTATAGCCCCACAGAGGAAAATGCTACTGGGGCTGGTTTGCAGGTCCCATTATTCAGACACTTAAGAGCTAGATGACTGACAACAGAGATTTATTTAAGAAAGAAGGAGAGAGAGTGTATGGGATGGGAGAGAGGAGAAGGAAAGAAAAAAGGAAATGGAAGGGAAGAAAGGAAAGGAAGACATCCAACCCATAGCTCTATGGGTTAATGTCAAGACTGCAGGAATGGGGGCAAACAGAATGTCGTCATGGTTTGGAGGACGAAGATAATGTGGGGACAACAGTCCTTTTAGAGGCTGGGAAGCAACACACAGCCAACTCTTATTTAACTGGAATAAAACCAAAAAGGTCAAACAGATTTTGTGGGATATATCTACACAGGGTGTCTCTTATTTTAAATAGGAGTATGCAATGCCGTGGAAATAAGCAATTATTAAGGATTTGTTCTACAATGAAACTTTAAGGTTATGTCATAGGCATTTATATGCTGATCTCCTTTTCATCTTACTGCACCAGTATTGTACTTTGACTTTAGAATTATAGAGGTTCTTAAAGGCAAGATAACTGACAGAGAGATTCAGTGACTAGACCAGGATCCCAGGGCTAACCTGGGTGTAGGTCACAATGTCTAGGGAGTCTCAATATGGGGCCAACAGAGTCACAGAAGAGAAACTAAATTATGTAAAACATGACTTTCATTAATAAATATATTTTCATATCATCCAATTATTTTTTAAAATCAGTAAAAAACATATATAGAAAATGTTTCTCAAATAGGTAACAGAGAATAAATAAACTGTGAGCATCACCTCCTTCCTTAAGATCTTTCTGGACAATTGGAAGTTTTCCAGATGGTTCCAGAGATTAGTCTAGAGTTGGAATAAGTAAGAAAGGCATTCTTGTTCCCATCCAGAGAAGAAAAGGCCTTATATTTGACAAATGCTTATTATGAGACAGGCACTGCACTATGCTGAAAACTTTTATATCATCTCTCCTAATCCCCACAACACCCCACTAACTGGCTAAGTCTGCCCTGCTCATGCAGATGAGGAAACTCCAGCTCAGGATCCCCACGCATATGGCCATTCTCCGGCCTGTCCATGTTACTAAGGGCTCCCTTCACAAGCCCCAGTTTCTCTGTCTTCAAGTGATTTATCCTTTAATTTCTACTCTCTCTCTCTACTGTCTACTTACTTGTTGCATGAGGAGTGGTAATGGAGCATTTTACTGTGAGTACATAAGAAATATCTGAATGTGAACATACTGAGTGCTTATGCAGTTCTCACTTTTATCAGCTGGGCACTCTCTTGCCCTCAGATAACCATAGATTTTGCTTAACAAGGGACTGGGATCTGGTGGAGTTCTATACCTTGTGTGCTTGTCTTTTTTTTGTTTTTGCAGTGCAGGAGGACTCAGGGCCTCACCCATGGCAGGAAAGTGCTCTACCACTGTGCTATATCCCCAGCTGTCTTTCTTTTTAAATGTTGGATCTGAATGTCCATCAATGGACATGCTTTCTCTGTCACTTTCCACTGTCTTATACACAACTGCTTTCATTAATACTATTTGCAAAATCTCTGAAGGCATCTGGGTTTGTGACCCCTAGAATTTGATGGTCGCTATAATCACTAGCAACTCATACATGTGAGTGACGGTGTGTTTGGTTTCTCCTAGGATTGCGGTGAAGAGCCACTTGGTGGAACAGGGTCCAACAAGAGGGCTGTATTTGCAGAGTATGAATGTGAGTTGTACCGCTGGGAGTTGTGCAGTAGATACAACGGCTGATGGTGATCCTACAGTTGCACACTGTGCTGGTGGTGTGCAGGGAATGATTCTGGCCTGAACACAAAGCCTAAGGACAGTATTACCCTTTGTCCCATTAAAATTGAAGGGAAGTCAGGTTGATTAAAGGAGAGGAATGGTATACCCAATTCAGAGGGTGACTAGAGTGATAGTTTGTCATTGTGAAGCCCATCCTTTGAGTTTTCAGAGCTCAAACCATCCAACTGAAACTGAATGCCATCTCTGGACAGAGCAGATCCAGTTATTGGTGTCTCCAAAGTACCAACAAGACTGGACTCATTGACTTAATCAGAAAACCTGAGTAGGATATTTTCAAAAAATGGTGAGAGAATCAAGTTTATGCTTCTTAGAATCTCACTATGCTAATGGTGAGAATTACTGGTTGCTTTTAATTTTTTCCCCAAGCAAGGAAGGCCCTGTGAATGCTTTCATTCTTTTATTCTCAAGGGCAACTCAACAATCCTTAAACCATTTGAAAGAGAGAAATCATAGCACTGATTCAGATCCCACATCTAGGACTGCATCAAATTTAGGTGGAACTAGTCAAAATCTGAAGTTTAAGTGAACTAGAAACTACAAGTGACTGAGCCCCAGGTGAGGTTCAGTTCCTTTAAAGAAACATGCTGTGTTCATACTCATGCTTCTGAGATTTCACGTGTATCAAACAGAAACTGACTTTGCCACAAACCTAATATGTGGGTGACTTGGACATACACGTGGCACAGGTTATACCTTCTAGATCCTACCAAGCCAATTATAGTCAATCCACCTCCTTTATCAACTATACAAACAAACCAAATTACTATACCTCTTCAGGCAGGCTGACCACCAAGTCATGTTTCGTCTGTCCAACCAGAGCCTGCCAGAAGTATTCACTGCATGCGGCCAGCACAGCCCGGTGGGCTCGGAACTCCTTCCTCTCCACTATCAGAGTCACGTCACAGAGAATATCCTTTTTCCGCTGGTCATTGAGGCCCAGGAGGATGTTGGTGCAGTGGACTGTGGACTCATACACATACATGGGGGAGTCAGGCTTCTCATCCACAGACATGCCGTTCACACCCTGAAAGAAAGAAAGGCTGAGTCACCACCACTATCAGAGAGTCACAGAGAGAAGGGAGAATGAACATCATGGTTTCTGGGTCCAACCCATGGGCCTGGCAGGAAAGAAGCAGTACTGCAGATCAGCACGTTCAAACTCGGTTGGCATAATTAGGTCAGGGAGCACATGCGGAAAGTCAAGGTCGATGGCTGACTTCTAACCTTTCCACTCACTGCATACTTTTTACCCCATGGTGGCAAAGCCAGATCTTTTAAAGGAACACTTAACATGATTAAAACACACATGTACTTTAAAAGTCGTAGTTTTCATTTTGTTAGAAAGCTGAAATAGCACTTTTTCACATATAAATAGTTTCCATTCCAGTACTGATTGAAATTTGTGTTAAGATGAAGTATCTGAAATGCTGTTTTGATGAAGTACACGTAAGTTCTCTAAGTTGAAATTTGGTTAAGGTGCCAAGTAGGATAAATGTCTAATCAAAATACATGATTTTACAAGTGTTCTAAACTGCATACGCCCCAAAGAATAGACATAGCAGCTATTATATCTGCCTTCTGTATTTCAAGACAATGCACAGCCAACGTAATGCAGGTGGTGATGGGCTCTCGGGTGGAACTCTGCTGTCGTTATGTCAGCAGACTTGACGTACACCCTCTTTAAGGAAACACAATGGATCATAATAGGAGTCATGAAAAAGATGTATTCAAAGTGAAAATTACTTTTACAAAAGTCATCTTTGTTTTAAAAAGAATCCTTTGAGGTATCCATAATTAATTTATATAATGTGGTTTTTCAGTAATATTTACTACTACTATGAATCCAGGCATGGCTTCATTCTCATTCAAAAAAAAAAACCCACCACACTTTAACAATAAATAAACAGCTTTAACAATAAGCTTCACACATTTATGGTATGAAACTTGACGTATGTGAGCAACTGTGAAACCATCCTTACAATCAAGATAGTGAAGATAAATTAACCACTGCCAGAAGTCTCTTTAAGCCCCTTTATAGTTCCTCCCTTGTACCTCTCAGTGCCCTATCTCTGGCAATCATTGATCAGCTTTCTGGCTATATATATTAATTTGAACTTTTTAGAGTTATATGCAAATGGAATCATGAAGTATGTATTTTATGTCTGGCGTCTCTTACTCAGCATAATTATTTTGACACTCACCCATATTGTTGAATATATCAAAAGTGTGTTCCTTTATTTCTGAGTCATGCTTTATTCCATGGATAGAATACACATTTTTACCCATTAATATATTGATGGATATTTGGGTTGTTTCCAGTTTGGGGCTATTAAAATAAAGCTGTTGTAAACATTAGTATAAAAGACTTTGTATGAACATATGCTTTCTCTTGGGCAGGATGTCCAAGCCACCCACACATGAGTAGAGTGAATAGAGTGTATGCTGTACATAACTTTAACTCTCTAAGAAACAGCACTGATTTCTAAAGTGGTTGTACCATTTTACATTTCCCTACCAGCATATGAGAGTTCTGGTTTTTTTCACATTCTTGCCAACATTCGGCATGGCCAGTCTTTTAATTTTGGCCATTCTTATAGGTACACTATGATATTTCTTTTGTGGTTTTAATTTGTTTTCTCTAATGACACAAGATATTGATCACCTTTCATGTGCTTATTTTCCATCTGTGTATCTTTGGTAAAATGTCTATTCAGAGTCCTTGCCTAATTTTAATTGAGATGTTTGTTTACTTATTATGGAGTTTTAAGGATATACTCAAAATAAAACTCCTTTATGTGATTTGTAAATATTTTCCCCCAGGGCTGGAGATGTGGCTCAAGCGGTAGCGCGCTCGCCTGGCATGCATGCGGCCCGGGTTTGATCCTCAGCACCACATACAAACAAAGATGTTGTGTCTGCCGAAAACTAAAAAATAAATATTAAAATTCTCTCTCTCTCTTTAAAAAAAAAATCCCCCAGTCTTCTGTAGCTTGTCTTTTCATTCTCAAACAGTAGAAAGTTTTCATTTGAAAAGGTTCAATTTATCAATTATTTTCTTTTTATGGATTGTACTTTTAGAGTCATATCTAAAAACGTCTTTGCCTAAACCAAGGTCACAAAGATCTTCTCCTATCGTTTTTGCTAAAAATTTAGTTTTTTCTTTTTTTTTTTTTTAAAGTTCTTACATTTAAGTACTTGACAATTTTGAGTTAATTTTTTATATGGTACAAAGTATGAATTGAGCCTCTTTTTTTCTTTTGCCTATGAATATCCAATTGTTCCAACACCATTGTTAAAACCACTCTTTACTGAATTGCCTTTGCATCTTTATCAGTTCTCTATATATGTGTAGATCTATATGTATGCGCCTATCTTCATGCCTCTATCAACAGTGTCTTGATTTGTTGTTTTTCAAAGTGATTTTTGATTCTTTGCATTTCCATATGCATTTTAGAATTAGCTTGTCAATTTCTACAAAATAATATTTTTACTAGAACTATACTTAATCTACTGATCAGTTTGGGAAGAGCTGTCTTTTAAGCAATATTGAATCTTCTGACCCAAGAACACAGCATTTCTCTTTCTTTTTAAAATATTTTTTTAGTTCTCAATGGACCTTTATTTAATTTATTTATATGAGATGCTGAGAATCGAACTGAATGCCTCACACCTTCTAGGCAAGCACTCTATTACTAAGCCACCACTCCAGTCCCCCATTTCTCTTTCTTTAGTTTATCTTTAATCTTTCTTAAAGAAGATTTGTAGTAGTGTATTGGTATTGCATATCTTCTGTCAGATTTATACATACATATTAATATTTCTGATGCCATTATAAATGGTATTGCTTTTGAATTTCAACTGCTGATTTTTCTCTACTAATATACAGATACGAATGATTTGCGTGTGTGTGTGTGTGTGTGTGTGTGTGTGTGTGTGTGTGTGTGTGGTGTGTGGGTCGTATACAAATACTATGCCTTTTTATATCTAGGCAAGTGCTCTACCACAAAGCTACATCCTC